CTACATGCAGTTAGCCTCGCTGCATGCAGTTAGACTCGCTCCATGCAATTAGCCTGGCTACATGCAGTTAGCCTCGCTGCATGCAGTTAGACTCGCTCCATGCAATTAGCCTGGCTACATGCAGTTAGCCTAGCTAAATGTATTAGCCTACCTACATGCAGTTAGCCTCGCTGCATGCAGTTAGCCTAGCCTTGGAGCTAAACCAGGTCCTGGAAAAAGACTGAGTGAACTGTGTCCATCTGTCTTTGGACTGATGATTAATTTTGTGACGTCACCTCCTGCCATATGAGCTCTTCTATCCTTCTGTATTGCAGAGGAGCTGCTGCGTATGGACAAGTTTTGACGAGAGTCAATGGGCAGATTTTTACGCTGTAGGGCAGCGAAAAAACTAAAAAGCTCTACTCATCATCATCAAATATTAAATATTTATCTGAGATAAATATTCATCAATATATTTCCAAATATTTTAATTTGGTTTTTTTTATGTCTTAATAAAGGTCATTGGGTGGGTGGGGCGGCGCCCTCTATTGGCCAGCCGCCACTGGATGTGGACGAACCTTTAGCCACTAGGGGGCACTAGACCTTAACTTCCAGCAGCTTTGATTAAAGGAAACATTTTCTTGTTTCAGAATAAAGCGGGTAAATTTGCAGAAACCAAAAGCAGCCTGCTAAGGAGGAACAGACCTCTGCCCGTCTCACAGACACCTTTCAAGCTGCCGCAGTTCTCACAGGTAAAAAAACACACCTGCTCTCCAAGCTCCGCCCTGACCCCTGACCCCTCCATAGAGCTCTGCAGGGTGTCGCCATTTTTAGAAGAGTGTCCCACAATGAACCTTGAAAAGCAATGATCATCTGTCCGAACCAGCTGGTTCTGGTTCAGTAAAACAGTCACTATAAAGTCCACTGTGTAGTGATGGGGGGGTCAGAGGTCAGGGTGGACCTTCAGGAACAGCCTTTACTTTGATACTGGATCATTTTGTCTCCCCCTTCCTGATTCATGGAGTTCTGCTCAGCTACCTGTTCAGGTTCTGGTTCTGGTTGTGTTGGACCGCTGATAGCCTCTGCTCCTCCTACAGGTCCCTCCAGCTCTGGACACCTTCAGGGACCCAGGGGCCCGGCCTCGGGCCCTCAAAGCTCCTCAGCAGCCACAGACCCAGAGAGGAGGTCCTGATCATGGGACAAACAGTCTGGACTGATCCGGATCAGAACCGGACATGTTAACACCCCTCCTAATAAAGCAGAGATGTTTTCATCAGAACCGAGTCCAGTTTGGTTCTTCTAGATTCTGGTTCCAGGTCCATTTTTCCATCAGGGAGGAATTCTGCCAGGTGGTACGAAGTTCGGCCCGATTCCGTTTGAGAATAGAAATAAAAACAATAGAATTTGACCCGACTGGTTCTAATTAAACTATTGAAACGATGTATGAGGTTCTATGGCAGGCCGTTTTGACATTTATTAGCTTGACTGAATATTTAATCCAAATGTCTCAAATGCATTTTTTACTAAACAAAATGAAAATCTCAGATATCTAAAATAAACATTCTTCCAATCTAAAACTGAATTCTACGCTGCCAGACAGCTGCTGCTGCTGCCTGCGTCCTCACTAGAACTATAGAAAGTAGATCAGACAGCTGA